AACTCAGGCTTATATGCATATGTTAAGCATCCAGAGACTTTCGACTCAATATCAAAAACAAATCGATCGATAAAATGCTTCTCATTTAAATACATAGAAGAAGTATGCATGAATGGTTCAACAAAAAACATTTGGAACGCAGTAGATAAGAGTACTTACCGGTCATGAGGAAGAACATGAAGACGAAAATTGCAGTATAGGAGAAGTACAGTATTGTCGAGACCTAGAAAAAAACCTGGTCAAGTCCGAATCAGGTGGCTTAGCCATGTTTGAGGAAACAGATCAAATTTTCCGTGATCTTTTCTTCATTAATATGGGAAAAAGGGATCATACAGTAAACTCTAAAAACCAACAAACGAGTCGGAAGGAAAAGTCAACCAATCGAGCATGAACTAGGGTTCATGAATCACTGGTTTTGGAAATTCTAATAGCTGCATTCATGACATGGTGAACAGAAAATCATAAAAAGAAAACGTACAACTCCCGTGATCGCCAGTTTGCTCGTGAAGAATCGTACACAATAGGCAAACAGGTAAACGGCCGTAAATCCACTCGTGAAAAATGAACGCCACCACCAATGATAGTCCTGAAAGTAGGTTCGAACTGAAACTTTGAAAACGGAGATATTAGAGTGTATGAAAAACATTTAGCCTTCGGAAAAAAGCTCACCTCAGCACACAAATGGAAGTATGCAAGAAGAATAGTGGCCTCCGAGCAGGTGATGATAAGAATTAGGAACACAACAAAAAGGAAACCAAACATGTAGTAAGTTTGATGGGCCCTATAAATCAAAAACCCACATCAGTCAGTTCAAGATGGGTAACAAATTTAGAAAAAAAACCGTCATGACTGGTTTCTTGAAAAAACAACTACAGGTAGTAGCTTGATGCTCACATAAAAGCAGAGCAAAAAGGGGCGGAAAAAACGGCTGCGTCAAAGGATACACAACTGCTACAATTACCAAGGCTTCACTTACCAAATACTGTTGAGAATAAAGAACAGCTGAATAAAGATACATCCGAATGGGAGTATTCCACCCATAAGCATTCCAGGGAGCGGCTTCGTGTACACCGTCTGTTCAGGAACTTGACGAGGAATCTGGTTCGTACGGACGGGAGCCTCAATAGCCTGAAATTTGATAAAAATGGAAATTTTCCACAACCGATCAAAACATTTCAAAAGATTTTGTTAAAAGAATTCTAGTATTTAACTACATAGTTCGATTTACAGATTAGCCCTGCCCCTATAACATCGTTTAGAAATGTTTCGAACAATTTACTAGAATGAACGGAAATTATCGCCGACAAATTTCACGAAAGTCCGAGTTTTATTCAGCATCCTTGGGAGGCTTCCCTTTTAATACAATTTGAGTGAGCATGGGCATATCCGGGAATTTCATGGTATCGCAATCGGCTGTCCAAATCACTTTTCCGACTTTTCTGTTTTGGGCTACGAAGCGATGGAACAAGCTGTACACAACTGGTCAAAGGGGCTTTAAAGCCAAATGTTTGGCAGACGTTTCAATGGGTTTCAGCAGTGGAGTGGCCAGATTCGAACTCGTAAAGAATTACTTGTCGTCTATGTGCAGACAGTCCGGTTATTTTATCGCTAAGTAAGCAAAGTCGGTTGTGTTATACGCATATGTGGGTAGGCGAAGTTTTCACCCAGACTCCCATAGAAGCTTTCAGTAATCCCCAAGAGACATCTGAACTACTGCAAAGTTTTCAGCAGATACTTTCCGAACAACCTAGTACTTCCAACCTACTTACACCACGCCCAAAAAAGACCTATTCCCCACACTAAACAGATGAACCGGTTCGATGTTCGTGGTTGTAACACAGCAGAGAATCCTTGACGATGTAGGAAAAAACGTGGGTGCCATTTCTCCTATCACTAGAAATAGAGTGGGAAAAACCCAAACACAGCCCTCGCTGGGAAATGGTATGTTTAGACTAAAACAATTATATTTGAACAACCGTAGTTTACCGAGAATATGGCCAAAATTAGCCAAAAAATGAACCCCATCCTCATTCTAACTCAAAGGGCACTTGGACAGAAAGCGTGACCAGACAGACACATCGCACCGCGGGCGCATTTTTTCTCGAAAGCCACCCTGGCCCACAAGAATTGAAACACTCCATGAGCTTTGAAAACGGGAAAAAAACTTTTTAAACCTAGTACTACTACAATGAAAGGAAATCGACACAAGACGAGAACTAACCCTCTTCTTGAAACCGAAGAATGCACCAATAAATGTCATTGGAGTAGAAATAAACAGCCAAAGCGACAACAAGGCTAGCAGGGTTCCAAATGGTACAGCTGCTGACGATCCCTTTATCCAGAGCAGAGTGTTCGTGAAGAAGAAGACAGAGAACAGAATTCTAGAAAAAGGAAACATGTGAGGAAAGGAAATAGGACAATTTTCAAAAGTGGCAAATTGAGCAAACTTACCCAGGTATCAGGAAACTAGTAAGTATAACATTTGTCTTCCAATGCACGCCTTGGAATGCTGAAATCGCTTTGCAAATGAGGGGAAAAACAAAAAAATTAATTAGGTCTATCCTATGATGACTTACTTTTGTACAAGCGGGCTGCAACATAGCCAGCAACAATTCCGAAAAGCACATAGAATACCAACGCAAAGGTGATGAGCGCTCCACGATTTGCTGGAGACAGAAATCCGAGACAGGCGAACACTGGAAATAATAAGAATAAATCAAATGAGCAGACATAAGGTAAGATCATAGAGCAAGGGAAAATTGGCGCCAAACAATTCCTTCTTGGGATGCACCTCGCATTCTACTTCCATTCAGAATCGCACAGGTAATTTGAAGCGTATGTGGCCTATACAATGACTTGTGTCATCGGCCGATGCAGAAGTCAGCATTTTCAGCCTCCCAGACGAGCCTGCTAACAAGTAACCGACTCCGGAGAGAGGGAAAGCTCGGTTAACCTAGGCGAGTGTCGATCCGGAATTCGATACCCGGGCCATGCGCTTGTGATAGTGTTCCCCTACACCACCTCCGACCAGAAAAAATATAGAAAGAAGCATATCCTTGGGGGGAGAAGCTAATTTTTCAACAGCGCCGTTTAATAACATATTCAGACCTGCCTCAAAACTTAATAACTGGATGGCTTGCCCTTACGTACCAAACATTCATTTCTGTTTATGACGCACACCAATTTGGTGATGACGAACAACAGCCAGAAATTTCCATTACAGCAATATTATCGGAAAAACTTATGTGCAAACATATTAACAGCACTGTATCGAATTGATATTCATCGACATTGCTTGCATAGCCCTCTCTGATCGATGCAGAAAAAGAAAAGTTTGGGAGTTCCGACGGAACACCGGAATGTCGCTTTTATTTCTACTCAAGATAGCAGTTTGTAATTGCATATTGACAACAGTCACATGGGGGGGG